GAGGAGAACCAAGTTCGAGTGCTACAGGGCAGAAACAAGTGGGGCGATGCAGGAAGTTGTTTTCACACACGGCCCCACGCACCAACGCGACGTCCATGTGGCTGTCTGAGCGGCAACTTCAAAGTCCTGCTCAGTTTGGTGTGGCTTCTCTAAAACGCATCACTGTGCGAGTTAACGTTGCGGTTTTACGGTGCAGACGTCAACATGTGATAGCTGACTGAAATAGACTCAGGAATGTAAGCAGTGAACGCCATCCAGAACAGGATGCAGCTCCACATCTAAATGCTGGTACATTTAAAAGTCTACTCAGTTGCTGCTAGAAAAATTAGATAACAAAAGGAGTCAAATTACAGTTCATTTCAGGGAAAGAGTGCTGAGAAATAGAAATAATTCTCAATAGGGTTTAGGTTAGGTGCATTTTTGTCATGGTCAGCAAACCAGCATCTAAATCTAGCTAGATAGCAAACCAAAGTGTGAAGTGCTCTTAAGCAGGGGTGCTTCAAATGATCAGGATTGTTATCAGGCTTCTGCAGAGCTTGCTGATGAGTTGACTTTGGACGCGATAAAATATAGCGCCCATTCACTCCGAGTCCACATGATGGTGACTGACTGTGACATTTCACACTGGACTTCAAGCAACTTGAATTCAGGGGCCTTGAGATTGAGGAAATGCAGAACTGACTTTAATTCAAACGAAGAACTTGATACACCAAGCAGTGATCCAGTTCGCCCATTTCTTCTGTCATTGCCTATGATGCATTAATATCACTTGTGGCAAATTTCCAGGACACGTCTGTGTGTGTTCAACTCAACTCAACTCAACTGTATTTATAGAGCACTTTCAAACAGCCATCGCTGCATACAAAGTGCTGTACATGGAGCAATTCCACATATACAACAAACAGTAAAGCAAGTCGGTAATAAAGATGGTAGAAAGCACCGAACAGCAAAACCAAAAACAAATCTAAGTCATGCTGAGTCAAATGCCAATGAATCCAAGTGAGTTTCTCTTGGAGCACTGAATCCAGTTTGGTCAAATCTTGGTCCAGCTCCAGCCAAGTTTTTGAGTCACCTTGAAATTTTGACTTCATGTACCTTAATTTTTTCTTTTTTTTTTTTTTTTATTTTATTTTATTTATTTTTAAACAGTATGACAAAAATCAAGCAAATCAAGTCAAATGCATTTCAAATTTCAACAATTCAATTCGTGAGTCAAGACCGTTTTTACTTTGTAGGCTTGAGGCTTTTATTTCACTTGCGCATATGTGACGTACTGCCACCTCTGTTCAATGAAGGACGTGTCTTCAGGACATCAAGTCATCAGTTTTCCCCTCTGCGGCATTATGTATTGAATCTGAGATTTGACTGATTTGTGGTATTTACTGTCTACTGTACTGGTAGTGTAGTGGTAGAGTGCATGCTGCTGCCTTTCACGCAGACTGTACAGCTCTGATTTCTGGTCAGCGCACCAATGTCCAGCCACTGCCAATCCTCAGCCCGGTACTGTACAAATAATGAGGCCCGGAGCTGCACAAATAGTGACCTACTCCTACCTATTACCATCTGACATAAATATTGGAAATACTGTCCTTGGTCCTGAATTCCTCGACTCTCCTATACGCCTGCGTTTCGTCTGTCTCAGCATTTGAGGGCACAAGAAATGCAGCAAGCAGAATAAACAGGTGGCTCATCAGATTCCTATCAATGCATGGGAGGGAGGCAGCTCAACACCAAAACCACAGCTGAGATGTTTTGCGATGCTGCGCCGAGATACAAACCTCAGGCGTGTGGTTTGGTGGGGGCGAGTTTCTGGAGTCTGTTTACTTTGCAGTAAACTGTATTCTTTTCGACGTCATTTTTCACAAAACAAATCAAATGCCTGTGCGCTATTTGGACTTTTTCCTCAAATTTGGATCACTTTTGAAAGCAGAGAGCCATCACCAGCAAACAATGAATGTCAAAGCGACCGACTCTTCACCCTCCCTCACATCAAATCCCATAGACCTGAAACAAAATTAAGGATTATCACTTTGCCTTTTCTAAGTTGAGTAATGCTAAAAACGCACCTAAGGTTCGTTTGATCCAGTTGGTTCACCTCCCCACTTTCATTTCCTTTTCATTTCAAGCTCTCTTAAAACCATCTGGTGGCTGATGTAAAATTTTACAACTAATCTATCAATTAACACAATCTCGGGCAGTTTCTCAACTCATCAAACATGCTCGTAAGTAAACAGGCAAAGGGTGTTGCACAATAGTTTTCTAGCCCATCGCTATTTATACTGTCGATGTTAAGTGAAACTACATTAAACACCAGGTCCAGGAAACCGTGGTAACCGAGGTAACCGAAGCTGAGGCCATCGCCTTTTCTGCACGTCCTTGTGAGTTGATACTTTACATGTAGAAGATGTCAACAACGGAACAGCCGGTCGGAAAACAATCAGCTACTATTGAAGAGACGTGCGATATGTAATGATTATCAAAAACTGTCAATTGGAAATTTACGTACTAACAAAATGCTACCAAGGTTTGCGTCCATGGCACGTTCTTGAACTAAAAGCATGGAGCTTGTCAACAAACTGACTTAGCTGATGAACACACTACATGATAATATAATGCACTGTACAATCATATATTAAAGGAATAAGTGACTCAAAGTTGCTGTTCTTCCGGAAATGAATAGTTCTGAGTAGGGCTGAAATAATTAATAGAATAATCTCATTACAAAAAACATTTGAGGCAAAACCTCTGTCTTGAAACTTTGCAGGGATAATTTTTCCACATAGACTAATGGTACCCGTCGACATGCTACCCGTCGACCTGCTCACCACTCTGTGTAGAAATAAGCTGTGGCATGATGGTGGCGACCCAGGAGGAACGAGTGAATAAAAGACAAAATGTCTGATGTTCGGGATCCTTTCACACTTCAAAAAACAAAGTGCAGGATCGACTCCAAAGCGGGTGTTGCACAACAGCACGTCTACAATCGCCAATTCACGGTATCGATGTAAGCTAATTTCATATAGCCTAGCATGCTTCATTGAGCAAACAATAACAAAATAAACAAACAAGGACATTCATACAAAAGCCATTACGGCTACAACTGAGACACAGCTATTCAACAAGATGCGAATGGGCTAATGGCTAGCTCAGGGGTCAGCAACCCAAAATGTTGAAAGAGCCATATAGGACAAAAAAAACAAAAAACAAATGTGTTTGGAGCCGCAAAAAAATGAAAGCCTTCTATAAAACGTACAATGAAGGAAACACATGCTGAATGTATGTAGGAGACTGGACTGTCTCAGAATTGTTTGTTATTCATTCCAAACGCCCCCATAAAATTTGTTTTGTGATTTCCTCGCTTGATTTTTTGTTTTGGTGCATTATTTTCGCTTTTCTGAGTGTCAGTGAAGTGATCATTAATTTCCGTTTTTCGGAGGCTGTCTTTGAACGCCTCTCAAGTCAATGAGAAGAGAGAAGGCACGGAGTCGGACGCAGACGTGTCTGTGTTTGTCGAGACTCTTAAAAGCATAAATAAAGTGTACGTTTTAAAAAACCAACACTACAGCTCTCCTTTTTCGGAGCTGCAACATGTATCTATATCTATTTGAACTATATTAGCCTACTATCAAAATCTTTTTCCATTTTCAAACATTTTTTTATAAAGCGCCAGGGAGCCACTAGATGTCGCTAAAGAGCCGCATGCGGCTCTGGAGCCACGTGTTGCCGACCCCCGGGCTAGCCAGTTAACAGCGAGCCGCTAACCTGTTTTCATAAGCGCCAACTTTACACTCCTTCTCTGACTCCCACGTCACTTTGATGTGTGATTGCGACCTCAACTCAACTCAACTGTATTTATAGAGCACTTTCAAACAGCCATCGCTGCATACAAAGTGCTGTACATGGAGCATCTCAAGCGGATAACCTGCAACTCAAGTGCACATTTGTTGTTTAATCATGCAAGACACATTTTCACTCAATTACTTGATGAATCAAGATGAATGAATGAATGAATGAATCCGTTGAATAACACCGCTCAACAGTAAATTTGAATCAGAATGTGGCCCCAAATGTATTTTTGACACTGATCTAAGAAATGTCTGTATTTTTATTCTAGTATTTCAGGTTTTTTAAATTTTTTGTTTTGTTGTTCAGTTTGACCTATAAAAGCTGCTGCAATACAGATTTTACATTTCGAACTTTTAAGGAAAAAAAAATCCACCTGTTTTGAAACAACCCTTAATTCACAAGTATTACTAAATATATGACTGTATTGCATATTATGTTATTGTTATGATGAAAATCTGATGTGCTACAGCGCAGGTGTCAAACTCAAGGCCCGGGGGCCGGATCTGGCCTGCCGCATCATTTTATGTGGCCCGCGAAAGCAAATCAAGCATGTCAACTTCTAGGATGATTGCGAAAATCTGGACCAAAATTTCAAATTCTCATATGTAATAAATAAGCGAGATATTGGAAGCATTTTCTTGTGACCAAACCCCTCCTTACACTAACGTAAACAATCGTTGAATGAACCATCATTCTTGACTTCTTTGTTTGTTTCTTTCTTTCTTTGATTTTTTCAGTCATAACGGCCCTCCAAGGGAAACAGTCACTACAATGTGGCCCACGACAAAAATGAGTTTGACACCCCTGTGCTACAGGAAAACACAAAGGCAGATTCGGAATCAGCACCAAAAAAAAAACCCACCTAGAAAACTGTACTGCTACTAACCACTACCGTTTTGCATCGCTGATTTAAAAAAAATGCAATACAAATATGTTGACCATTGTAATCGATGTTAAAAATATTCAGTAGCACTGAGGCACACCAAGGTGCCGTAGCACACGAGTGTGCCGTGAGAGATCGATCATCTTGGGTGCAAAGTGAAATTTCACACATTTTATCAGAAAATTCTCTTTGATTATTTACAAATACACCCTTGTTCATCTATCTCTGCCAGTGATGTAGAGTGATGCTTTTTCCATTAGCAGGCTGAAGGTACACCCTGCTGCCATTCAAACTTTGTTCCACACTGGTTAAAAAAGACTTGATATCAGAGTGTTGTGAGTCACGACCATGGTCACGGAACATATTAAACTTGCAAGGATAAGTCAAAGAAGGTGTCGCCAAACTTGCCATCTGATGTTTCTGTGTGTGGTCTGAAGCCGTCCTCCCTCGGAGCTGCTCAGCTCCTCCTCTTCCTCCCTGACGAGAAGAGCTGTCAGCTGCAGTCAAGTCACCTGAAAACAAGAAAAAGACGTCAGACGAGATGCTGTTTGGCTGCCGGATGGTCGAGCAGCAGCCGCTGCTGTTGCCGATGCTGCCGATGTTGTTGTTGCTGCTGCCAGTGGCTTGTCTGGCTCAGAGTGGAGATGGAGACACTGACCTGGGTGAGACCAATTATGGTTCGATCAGTATAACAAGACACCTGCACTTTATCGCACACACACTGTCCGACTTCACCCCTTGGTGTTGGGAAAATGCAACAGATGAAGATGATGTCATTTGAAAATGTTTTTGGAGATGCTAATTTGTACTGGTATTTGATTCGAATTGTAAAGTGATCTAAAGTATGATCATTTGATCTGTCTGTTCATAATTCTCATTATTTACATTAAGATTTAATAACTATCCACGATTTATGTGCTAACATTCCATAATGTTGTTCAGTTTCTTTTGATAAATAAAGGGCAATAATTTGAAATAATGTGACCCCTCGTATGCGGTTTGGATAATGGATGGATGGATATGAAGCAGAATTTTAAAATGTGTATACCTAATGTAGATATGGGGTGGTTATGCCCCTCCCCCCCAAAAAAACAACAAAATTAACCAATTACTCCTCTGTGACTTATTCTTTTGGCTAATTAGAAAGCTCTGATGTAATTGGGACATTTTGCATAAATCTGACATTCCTGCATGAATTAATGAATTTTATTTTGACTAACTGGTGTCTTATTTCAGGAAAAAGAGTTTCTTTGATAGAAAAAAAAGCAGATATTTTTGGGAGAACAGCCCTTAAATGGCATTTTGCTCCTATAATTTGAGTTTAAAATGTAACAATTTTATTATTCTTGCACGTGTCACTGATAAATGTGCTTATTTTGATTTAATTTTATTTTATTTTAAATCCATTTGTGATTTGCGTGTGCCCCTACAATATCATTTTTCCAGAGGCCATTGTGCTCCTCATAAAAAAAAAATTAATAATAATAAATAAAAAAAAGTTAGTCTTTAGCCCTGCACAACAGGCATCTTTTCCAGAATAAAAGGCATAGTATTAAAAGAAGAAAGTTGCATTTTTTAAAGTCACTTGTTAAAATATGACTTTTTTTTCCACTTATTAAACTTTGAATTTAAAATAAAAATATTACAACTTTATACTGGAAAAATATATTCTCAGAAGACTAGGATTTCATCATTTTTAATATTACAACTTTTTAAAGAGAAGAAAAAATACATATGACTTCGAATTTGTCATCATAACATTGCAACTTTTTTTTTCTTCTCGAAAATAAGTAACTCAGACATAATAGTGAACTTTAATATGTGTTAGGTTTGTGAAGGGGCTTCTCATTGGTACCTGGAGCTTTTTAAAGCATTGACAAATCTATGGCTTTATTTAATGTCTCCTTTCTGCCCATTTTCCAGAGTCGAGAATCAGCTGCACCTCTCACATCACCACAGTCGAAAGCAGTTTAACCTGCAAACTAACTGGCAGCAGGAGCGAGGACGACGAAGATCAGGCTGAAGGCGTGGAGTCCATGACTGTGTGGTAAATGTTTTTCCGATGAAAAGCTTGCTGGATTGTCACTCGCACTCAGACTGAGAATTTCGGAATATGTCAATCATACTGATGACCAGCGCACAATATGTTTTTATTCATACGCAATCATCTAGTTTGTTTGTTTGTTTTTTTTACTCCACTTCTAGTTTCACCAAAGTGCTAGAGAACAAATTAAAATGCCTGACATCACCGGGAGATTCGATCACCTCTGCTGAACTGAATGCCCTGGCCCCTCTCAAGCTGACCATCCTCTTGAAGGGGGGCGCCACCATCAACAAAACAGTCAAACTGAATAAAATCAGTAAGATTTCAAGATCCCTGTAAAATATCTCTTTCAAATAATGTTTCTTTTCAATTTGAAAACATACTTACACAGCTCAGTGGGAAAACAGACGTAAATTCTGTATTGGGGTGGGAAAACAAAAAAACATTTCGCTAACTGCGGGCTCTGATGGAAAGATAAAAGTGAGAAGGAAAAAACCCAACAAATAAATAACAAAATAAAGATGAATCAACACAGAAAACGATTTCACCAGAAGACGACGGTTAAGTGACGTCCCAAACAGAACCCAGACCTAAATACTGTTGAATATGAACAGTGAAAACAATAGTGACCTACCGGGGCTGTTTGAGTCATGTGCCATGTTTACAGATTCCTTTCGTGAAGAATGAATGTTGGAATTTGGAAAGGTCATTCAAGAAGCATTTTGCTGGATGTTTTCTGTCTGACTGGTCAAGAATCGCATTTTATTTGCTGTCGGTTTTATTATGATTCTCATGACTCTCCAGAAGCATTCACGTTTGATTTAACGTCCATGTCAAATGTTTTAATTTGAAAGTGACAGTGATCTATATTAAAACAATGATGTCAATTCCTACGTGGAGCAACCATGTAAAAAATCTCACACAGCTTGCCTAGAGGTGAATGTTGCACTTGTTAAATCGACGTGTCTCTTCATCTCTACGCATCTAAACTAAATTGACTTTCAGATTCGATGTCGTTGCAGTTAAACCTCGAAGTCCTGAGGTGTGGAACGTAACCGTGAAACATGAGTCAAATCAGGCTGTGTTTCACATTCGGACTCCTTACCTGAAGGACTACCTGAAAGTTGAAAATCAGCTTTTTCAGCTGGTCATTTGGACCGCCGACAAGAATATGGTAACAGTGCGGTTCACGTGTCCACGTGTCAGTATGCATTCATCGACGTCCTTCACGTCGCGCTCTTTTATTGCAGATTCAAAATGTGTCGGCATCGGATACGATGGCCATCGACATGGAGCACCTCCAGATAAACTTGAAATATCACGTGAAAGTGCGAGCAATACCCTTGGTTTTTCTGAGGGGCAGCTGGAGCGAATGGAGCAACGCGTTGACTTTCTCCATTCCCGACGGTGAGAAAAGCTCTGCCGACTTTTTACTTTTTTTCGATAAGACGCCAGACAGTAAACTGCCTTCCATTGTTCCTCAGGCCGGACGCAAAGTCACGAGAGGGAGAAAGTGACGACGAAGCTGATTGCGTGTTTCTTATCCCTGGTGGTGCTGACTTCCACCTTGGGTTACGTCTGGAAAAAAAAGTAGGAATCTCGACATCTCTGAATCAATCTTCTCTCACTAATGGTTTCACAAATAAGCAAATGCTACGTTTCCACAGAGTATTCTCTTACATGTGGCCCAGCATTCCGCATCCTAAACCCACCATGGTGCACGGCTGCAAACCCAATCAAGTGAGTTCTACTTGGGAGAAACACAAAAAAACGGACAGGTCTTTCCTCGTTTCATGTCCGTTGTTTTTGACTGATCAGGTTTGAATATCGTTGTTTCGGGATTGCTGGAGATTGTGTCTGTCAGGTTTCTATGCTGGTGTAGCCCTTCCCTCTTGGTTTTCTTTGAATACTAAGGTGTCCTCCCATGTCTCACAAACATGCTTCTTAATGGAGTGTATAACGTGTACTATTTATTCTTCGTTAAGTTTAGCTGAGGTGATGTTGGATGTTGGGAGACAATCTCTGACTGACCTGTTGACTTTTCTTTTGGTCGTTTGCTCTTCCCTGCCCCCCCGGGACAGAGTAGCAGGGAGGAGGTCACACCAACTTTTACAACCCCTTGCTAAATCAATTTAGAGAAAACAGACACAAATGTGCTCCAAATGTAGAAAGCCTCAACAGAACATACTTGTGGATATTCTCGGTCATCCAGGTCATTTTTTTCTCAGGGCATTGAGTCGATCGCTTTGGTTTCTTCGAAGACATTTTGCCTCTTATCTGAGAAGGCTTCATCGGTCCATGTAATAAGGCTTGGTTAGGACTGAGCAGTCTGAGCTGACAAAAGGAGGGAAAACCTCGGGACACCATTCGAACATGACAGCCCAGAAAGGAACATTCTGGCATCTATGGTGGACAGGGTTAAATTGAAGTGCGCCTTTGAGCTTTAAGGACTTAGCATAACCGTCCCCCAGCAGCCTGTCAGATATCGTGATCGACCTGAGCAAAACTTGAACAAGCGAACATTTCACATAAACTGGGCTGCAATGTCCACTGGGAATATAGTGCAAATGTGGCCTGAGTGGTAAAAAACAAAACGATGGATGTTTCTGGAGTTGTAGTACTGAAGACCTTATTTATTTGACATGCAACCTGCATCACAGCCTTTTGTGAAGATCTCTTTTGTGTTGTTTTCAGGTTGCCCTTCTACTCACCATCAAACCAGAGGAGGTCAGTACACTTAAAATCTACCCGGTGGTGGAAAGAGTTGAGCAGGAAAGAGTCCTGGCTATCCATTGTGCAGCCAATGATCTTACATTGGCCAGTTACCCCGCTTCCACGCAAAACTCCGATTGCAGCACCGGCACGGAAGAACTGGAGCTTTCCATCTCGCGCAACAGCAGCTGTTTCGATGGAGATGACAGCCTTCAGAGCACCAATTCGCCGCTTGTGGAGACTGCTGCACCGAATCCTGGACACTCGATTTCTCCTGCGTTAGGAGCCCATCAAAAGGAGGAGGATTATGTCACAATGTCCAGTTTCTACCAGGTCAAGTAGGATGAATTTGGAGGAACTACAATCTGTCAAATCTCCAAGTGGAAACCGTCTTCAAGTAAGCCAGAAAGGAAGCTGGTGCTAAGAGGAGGCGATCTTTGATGGTGCATCAGCGCATAAAGATTAACAGACCTTTTTGTCACCAGCATCAGCTTGACATTTGTCACAAGTCATTCCGCAGCTATGGCACCAAATCGCCAAAAGAAGAAATAGGAGAAGAAGAAGAAGAAGAAGAAGGAATTATGGCAACTAATATGTGACGCATCGCTAGTTTAGTTAGCATGCGGCATCCGTCACAAGGATTTACTATTCACGGCAGCAAAAGGTACAATAACCGACCAGGATTCTATCTTTGGCCCGGGATTATGGTTAAGGTAATTCATTTCAAGCTCATATTGTAATATTAATATTTAGCAAGTCTTAGCTCAGTATAAGGTGCAGGACCAGCAAAACCTTGAAAAAAAAATGCGACATATAGTCCAGTATATCCGATTCATTTTTACACATCACCTGAAACAACTTTACATGCACACGTGTCCAAATTTTATTCAAACAACGACACCACTGTCACCGCTTGGCACCTACAACGCAGACTTCAATAATCAATTCGAATGCATCACAAATAATAATACACTTAATTCACGTTACATGCCGTTTAGTTGACTAACTCTTTCCCCCATTGGTTTGAATGCACGAAACGCCCGAATGACTTCACTGGTCGTCATTGGAAATTATTTTGCTGATTCAATAGTCTACGAAATCTGTGTAGCCCCAGTTCTGTCCCTCCAGCGTTTTATTTGAGATGATAAAATATACATATGAATTATTTTCTCAGCCCCCCCTTTATATCTCCGGTAGGGAGAAAAAAAAATCCTGGAGCTGTCCCAGATTCTCACTGATGTGTTAAAGTGTGACTTTGTAGCAGGGAGAGATGACATGAGGCATTGGGAGCCATTGTGAGGAAGGCCCCTTTTGGATGTTTGCAAAGCTGCTATTTTCTGAAGGCATTTCAGCATGTTTCTTCATGCTTCATTATTTCTGACAGTTTTGTTATTATTCTTATTTGCGGGACAGGATGTGGACATATGGAGCAGGATGTTTTGCTGCAGCAATCGCATTTGCTCAAAGCTGCAACTTATACCTCATGTTTATGCAGCTATAAACGTGTGGTTTTTTTTTTTGTTTGTTTGTTTGTTTTGTTCGATTCTGTAACAGTACATTTTGCTGCTGCTGATATTTCTCGTATCCAACTGATTTTATTGTAATCAACATTTTCTTGCCTACACTGATTACCAGCACATGGAAACATGACAATTTTATATGATTTTTTTAAAATGTGTAAATCTGCCTCTTTGTGGTTTTGAAAATATTTTTTCTTTTGGTTTCATTTTCTCAAGAGGATTAAAGATATGGTGGATGGCTAAAATAGAATGCAGCCTTTACTAATGGGTAGGTGTCATTTAACATCCATTCAGCAAGTAAAATAATGACATGCTGTAGCTCCACAACATTATGACCACATGAAACTGTATCATCTATTGTGCCTTTATGAAGTTAAGAATGTTCATCTTTTATTGATGCTGTCATAACGATTTCATTTGAACAATTTGCTGTGGTTGCACTCAGAGTTATTAAAAGAAATACAAAATGAATCTCAAACGGGTTTAAGATTCATTTGCATACCAGGCTCACTGTAAGTTGGCCACTTTTGCCACACTTTACAATTTGCAGTGCGGCAGACAGTAAATGCAAAAAAAGTTTGTCTGTGGAAATTTGTGTGTTCTCTGACATCAGTCACCAAGAAATACAGTGAATCATCTCAGCAGTGACTGGAATTTACGTGACGATTCGTTTTATTTTTAGTTTCATTCATCATGATGTGGTGGCAAGTTTTCTTTGTGTGTGTGTGTGTGTGTGCGCGCGTGTGCGTGTGCGTGTGTGTGTGTGTGTGTGTGTGTGTTATGTAAAGACACTTAACTCTGTAGATCTCAAGATGTCTGTAATCTCAAATCCTCAACAGCCACAGACAAAATTGTATGCAGCGGTGGTAACATGTTCAAATATGTGTTCAGTGAAGGAATGCAGGTATTGTCTGGCTCTCACAAAACCCTTTTGACATCTTGAGTGAGTTTAACATTTGTTGTATTTTTTTACTTAACTATATGTTTCTGCTTTATATCTTGATGGAAGCGGTCGCTTTTCTGCTCCGCTACTGCCCGGCCTGGAATAAAATGTACGGTATGTAAAATGTATGACTGATCGAGGATTGGGCTAATTAACGCCATTGAGAAGTCACAAGCTAAAAGACCTTCTAGGCTGTCTGAAAATGTAGACGTCCTGTTCCCAAAACAACTGCTATCTGGACTTTCTATCTGGATGGAAAAAAATAGATCAGACGCTTGCATGACTATTTGTCCAGTCTGATGGTGACGCGATCCACGATAACATGTCGCTCATGAGTAAATGAGATTTATTTGACCAAATAAAGACCATGTCAGACAATTTGGTTGACTTGCTACAACTGGAAAAGTAATAAGCGCTTGTCACACCATCCGGTTCCTTTACAAAAGTGGTTAGCCACCGGTTAGCATTGTCCCCATGTTGTTTCTAACTATCTCTTCCTTGACTCCTCAGTCACCATCCATCTTCGTGGGCCTTTTTCCTTTCCCATTGGTTCTCCGCTGATGGCGGCTATTATTAAAAGCGATGTCACCCATGGCCGTTATTGATGCCCTTTCATTACTCATTATGCTTGAGTGCCCGCATTAGTGCTGACTGGCCCAAAAACGGCTGACACGACACACGGGAACAACTTTTAGTAGCACACGTGTCACACATTCTAATGTAAATTACACTAAGGATTTATTGAATGCGAGTCCTAAAACGCCTTTGACTCCTCTGTGCCGAGTCATAATACTGCTTGATCGGTCAGGAGATTTATTGTATTTTAATATTTTATATTCAACAGCAATTTAAAATAATAGTTTTTGTAACAACGATGCATTAACTTTTTTCACTGCAGCATGTAGCAGCAATTAAACACCACACATCCACACCAGGCTAAGACCATTATTCTGTGTGTGGTGGGTGTGTTGGTGTGTGGGTGTGGGGGGGGGGGGTGGAGGGGTCTGTGTCGGGGAACTATTTTGCCCTTTTGTGGTGGTTTTTTTGCCCAGAAAGACAGTACAGTGTATTGTTGTTTATGGGTGTGGTTCCACATTCCACCACTGGGGGCGGCGTACTATTTTTCAACACTGGGTGCATTTGGAAGAAGAAGAGCAGTTTGACAAACTCAACCTCCTTTTTGCTAATTAAAAAGACATTGAATGCCACAGCCATCTTTCATTCGCTGTTTTTGACTTCAGAAAGCGACGGCTTTAGGTTCATTTTATAATGTACATTTTGGGGCGTTAGTGTATTTTGTGAGATGATGACGTTTGTTAGTTTGGATGGTACATACTTCGCCTGTATCATTATCTTATCTGTTTCACTTGTTCTCTCTCAATATATTAAATGTGTTGACAGTGTTTTAAGTGTTTAAAAACGAGAACAAAACTGAGGGCGGGGTTTATTGTATGTGTATACCATATATAGGAATGAATGTTGAATGTGTTTAAATGCTTTTGACCTCATTCTCCTGAAGTCACGGTCGCAAAGTGTTTACTTTTCTAAAGTGCAGTGTGTACTGAGTGATATTACATACACACACACACGCACACGCATGCATACAATTTGCAAACTAAGATGACAGTTGTAAATTAATAAGCAAGAGTGTACCTCAACATACACAAATTTTATAGTCAGTGTAACCTCTATCATCTCCACCAAGGGTAAGGACATTCACGCCGCGACTTGTGTTTTTGTTCACAACTTCCTAGCTAAAGTTTTTATGATATTATTTTAATGATGAATAGGTCTCGTTGCAAGGATGTTCCCATGAAACATTCATCATGTTGTAAAAATGATAAAATTCCACTCCTACCCAAAACTATTATGAATGAACAAATGTCATTTTGGGGTTTATTTGTTTTTCGTGACGGTTGTTGAACTTTCTGCCTCAGTTACAGCTGACAAAGGTCTGACCTTGTGATATATTGTTTGAAGGTTATTTTGTTTCAACATATTATGGATAACTGACTTTGTATTGTTAGTATACACATAGTTTGGTGTCCAGTGTCATCCACAGTCAAAGTCCACCCCTTAAGTGTGAAATTAAACAACCAAGTCAATCTTTTATTGACATATCTCTGAAAATGTGTCCGTGAGCGAGACGTTCTGCCCTTCCATACCATAATAACCTCCACCAGACGAGTTTCTTCATCTGATATGACTGTTTAGCCTTAATTGGCCAGCTGTGACGTTGGACAAGCTCCATTCATTTGAAGGCCAAATGCAGAGGTGCGAGACACTTCCATATCTAAATGGTAAGTAGAGCTACAGTGAGTATTGAGATATTGAGATATCCTTTATTTGTCCCACACTGGGGAAATTTTGTGTGTTTGCATGCACAAATTTTCAAATTCATGCACAAAAATAAATGTTTTCAGAAGAGAGCTGTACACAGTTCAATATAAATATAGATACAGATATATATAAGCATATATGCAACTGGTATAAGGTGGCTGCGCTATTACAATTGTTACTGGTTTTTCGCGTATTTTTTATTCAGCAGTCTGACAGCAGTCGGTAGGAATGAGCGGCGGTATCTCTCCTTCTTGCAGCGCGGGTGTAACAGTCTCTGGCTGAAGGAGCTACCCAGTGCTGTCAGGGCGGGCTGGAGGGGGTGGGAGGCACTGTCCATCATAGCTTTTAGCTTAGCTAGCATCCTCCTGTTGCCCACCTCCTCCAGAGTGTCCAGCTCTGCTGTTGTTGTTGTTGGCTACCCATATAATAATACCGGTAATAATAATAATAATAATAATCATAATAATACATTTTATTTGTGGGTGCCTTTCTAAGCACTCAAGGACACCTTACAACAAGCCATTAGCTATATAGTATATTAGCATATAGTCATTAGCTAACAGTGTTAGCTTCTAAGAAGCAGCATTTACATGATTGTTTTGTGATTTAGTCCATCTGGCTTCAAAATTTCAAAATGTCCGAAATGTATTTTGGTAACTATAATTTCCTTTCAGATCATACATTTTTTTTTCTGTTATATGCCACTGACGGTGTATATTTGATAAACGATCCTGGTCATTTAAAGTCATTTTGTATTAAGCTGCTGAACACTTAGTTATGTCTTTTTCACATTATGAATGGAACGAAATCTCATAATATCTTCACTAAGCTACTGCTGTTCCCCTGATTTATGGGTCACATGATACTGTGTGAACTGTTTATATGGATGACGCCCCGTTCTTCTCGCTCCCTTATGAGAAAACTGTGCCAAGTGGAGTAAGTTGTATGACAGATATGACTGGGACTCGTATGAAACCATTCACACACACACACACACACACACACACACACACACACACACACATGTACAAGGCATATGGAAATACTTTCTGTTGTTTGTCCATGTGCTTGACTCTGTTGTTCTAGGTTCTGGTTGCGCACCAAAGGAAGCCGTGTTGTACGTTCTCTCAACACGTAACTCCTTAAGGTTCATTGACTGGACGTGCCAAGGACGGACAATGTTGAAAAGGATTTCATACACATTGGAGGAATCTGTGTTTGATCATGTAGGTAAAGGGAGAAAAAGAAATCTTTTCTTCCATTATCAGCGGTTTGCCTTTGTGGCATCAGATTTAGAGCTGCACTGAAATTCCAACATTGAACCATTGTGTAAAATGTAAATAAAACCAGAATTCAATGATTGCAAATTCTTTTCAACCAATATTCTGTCTGATATACAATAAAGAGAAAATATGTAATATTTAAACTGATAAACTTTATCTTTCATTTATTTGCAAATATTCACTCATTTGGAATTTGATGCCTGCAACACTTTCCCCCAAAATATAATGTTATGAAAATCTATCCTCATACACAATAAAAATAGAAACAGAGAAATGCTTCAATTTTTTTTCAGCGTGGCGATGATGTCCCAGAAGACAAAATGCTTTGAAACATAAGATAAGACTGGCTCCTTGAAGAGAAACCAGCGCAGGGTTCTCACTAATTAAAACAAGCACGTTCAGCGAAACGGTAAGATGCATTTTTAATTATTAGTTTTTATTATTTTTTTCTACATTCATTGGTCAAAATATGCCTTGACATGAAAGTGGTCTATAGTGCAAAACAGGTTAAGGACCACTGTAGGCCACTGTAATGAAAAGATATCAATTATGACTAGTCGACTAGTCAATTTAAAAAAATATGTTTCTATGCTTTCCGTAAATATGTCTTGATTTGAAACTGCTATGATACTGAAAAAAATCTCAACGTAATTGACTTTTTTTCATAATTTTTGTTTCTATGCCGATCTGTAAAAATATTGACGTGAAAGCGGGCCATTGTCACAAAAAAGCTTAGTGATATCATCGATATCATCGACTAGTTTATTTTGACTCGGTTTTCATCACATTAGCATCACCTCCAAAAAAATCTTTTGTGGCTCACCCCCGAGTGTACGTATATCGGCGTTACTGCTGACAACATCGACAGGTGCCATGATACACACTCCCACGCACGCACGCGCGCGCACACAC